ATGCATTGACTTTTCTTGTATGTCAGGATCAGTGTGTCAGCAAATTGGATGTTACAAATGCTATCAGGCAGCCTTCTTCCAGCAGACCTGCAGCCCTGTTTGACTGAGGACCCGGATCTCTACAGTCCCTGGATTTTTGTAGTCTGAGCAGATTTATAAATGCACAAAATGTTGGGTTGGAGAAGCTCTTTTAAATAACTTGGCTCATAGTATGTAAGGTAGTTTTAATAATGAGACTGAATCCTTCATCACTCAAAAATACAGAAGCCTTTCTTTCTTTTCTGGAGTAAAATACAATAAATAAAGAAATTCTGGTGAATAAATTGACCTTCAAAATTGGCAAGCTTGGTAAACTGCACCTGAAAGGCTGAAGAGATAACATGTACGTCATTGCTTAGGAGGGGCTGGGCTTGGTTGCTAATGCTATGCTGAATACTGAAATACACTCTCTAGTAGTGCACAGGCTGTAAGTTTGATGTGTGTGTTTGTTTATTCTTGAGTTGGTGATTCTAAGTACTGTCTTAAATAAGTGCTTTACTTAAGTAAGATTTTTAAGTACTGTCTTAACTGTGCACCATGGAACAAAGAGAGCATGAAATTGTGTCATGTATTAAAGTTGCTATTTTTTTTTCTTCTTGGGAGTAATTTATATAGTTTGAGAGACACACAGCAAAAACCGGAGTTAGGAAATTTAGAAGAAAGAGTTTGACACAAAATCCTGAGGAAACAGGTTTTCCTTCAAATGTACAAGAAAAGATCAGAATACTGAAGACTTTTATTCTCGTTAGATCTATATCTGGCACATGAGTTGGCATAGCATTTGGCAGGATTAAAACTATTACAGTGTTGCCAGCAATGGGTGATCTTAGGATGAGTGCATGTCAGGAAAATGAAAGGGAAGGCTGGACCAAAGATACTTTTAATATATTTTATTTTAATTTAATCAGTTTGGGCCTATTGTTTGACTGAGCTGATAAACAGAAATAAAGTAAAACATGACATGTTTTCCAACTGTCTAGGTAGTTTATATGTATATTTAGTGGTAGGGGACTCACTTGATAGGTATGTTTACGGTAAGGGTAATTTTCCTTGGTTTACTGGGAATTTTTTTAGTAGAAAATCTAGCTTTAGAGCAGGGAGGAAACTAACAAATGAATTTTGTGTGAGGGAAGCATATTTTTTAATAGTCTTTCATTTACAGTGTCTGGTTGGAAAATATTTTGGATATGATGTTCCAAAAATGAAAGCAACAACAATATGCTTTTTATAACCATTGCTTAAAAAAACATGTATTCATCTAACTCATCAAGTGCTTATGAATTAGAAAATTAAACATAATGCTTGATTGTGTCAATGTAAAAATGTCCTCCTTGGACTGCTGTTATAAATTTGTAAGTCAAACATATTTTAATCACAATTCTGAACGTTGGACAGTAAAAAAAATCAGCATGTATGTTTGCTGTGCAGTGATCTGTATATTGCACGGCAAAACAGCTACATTTGAAGCCATCTTTCAGTTCTACAGGCACAGAAGGAAATGTTGAATTTGTGCTGTAATTGCTGATAAACTTGTTCTTCAGCTATTTAACATGATGGTGCTTAAACCTTTTAAGAGGAGAATAGTTGCTGAACTGAAAAGAGCAACCTCTTAGTTAAAACAAACATTGGCACTACCTGTGTGCTTTCAGCTAGGAATAAATAGCTTGTAAATCTATAGCTAGCTATATCTATTTGTATACAAATATGTGTAATTTAAGTATTTGAATGATGTACAAGAAAAGCCATTAATAATTTATTTTTCAAGGGCTGACAGACTTTTCTCTAGTCTTCAAAAATTCCAATGCTCAAAAAATATCTTTGAATTTAAGCAGTAATTTGTATAAAAATACATGACTCTGTTCGGGAATTTCTATGGAATCAGAGAGGCTGCTTGTGCTATATGGCTATTTTTACTTGTGTTTTTCTTTGATGTGTTTGTGAAGGACATGCATTTATATATGTGTGTAATAAAAATCAGCTAGCTGACACCATGATGTTGGGCTCTTCATTGAAATTCAGTTTCTTCTTTGACTCAAATAGCAGTAACAAGCAAGCTAGGGACATTCAAAGAGGAGCCTTTGATCTCTGGAGTTGTGTGAGGAACAGTTGCAGGGCGCTGGCTCTCCCTGCAGAGGCTGCCCCTTCTCCAGACCTTCGCAGTGGCCAGAGCAGGTTTCTCTACGTTGGCGTGGTTGACCCTGGCTGGAGTCCAGGTGCCCACCAAAGCTGCTCTGTCACTGCCCTCCTCAGCTGCACAGGGGAGAGAAAATGTAACAAAAGGCTCCTGGGTTGAGATGAGGACAGGGAGCGATCACTCACCAATTAACAGTCATGGGCAAAACAGACTTGACTTGGGGAAAGTTAATTTAATTTGTTACCAATCAAGTCAGAGTAGGATAATGAGAAATAAACCAAATCTTCGGACACCTTCCCCTGACCCCTCCCTTCTTCCCGGGCTCAGCTTCACTCCCATTTCTCTCCCTTCTCCCCCCGAGCGGCACAGGGGGACAGGGAATGGGGGCTGAGGTCAGTTCATCACACGTTGTCTCTGCTGCTCCTTCCTCCTCAGGGGGAGGACTCCTCACACTCTGCCCCTGCTCCAGC